CATGTTTATCTGGTTTAGCAGGATGATATAAAAGTGCATAAAAGAGAATTAGTTTCACATGTATTATTTCAGAAATCAATTTCAGATTGTCAGTAGTATGTAAGTTAGAGGTACCAGGAGCACAGCCATCTTGGGCCCATTGCCTCTATCCAGAGAATTATATCTGAAAGATTTTAACCAGAGGAGCAATGTTTTGGGCCAATCAAATGAAGCTGCTTTGTTCTTGGAAATTTGGTGCCCAATTCCGACTTCCATGGGCATTTCCAGACATGAGTGTACTTATGTACATGCAGGGAGAAACACTGTGTGAAAGCCTTAGAGCCTCAGAACTTAAGGAAAGAAAGAAAACTAGAACCATGGTCCCTGCTTCTGAGCTGAGGTCAGGGTCCCTTCCCATGAGTTTGAGCTAAGGTCTCCTGTAACTTGGAGCTGTGGTCGCATACAGTGAGCTGGAGCCATGGTTTCCCCCAACCCGGTGTTCTAGAGCTGTGGTCCTCTCCTGTGAGCTAGAGTTGTGGTTCCCTTCTGTGAGAGGAAGTTGTGGTCCTCTCCTGTGGGCTGAAGCTGTGATCTTCCCCTGTGAACTGGAGCTGTGGTTCCACTCCTGTAAGCTGGACCTATAGTTCCCCAACAGTGATCAGGAGGAATGGACCCCTTCGGTGAAATGTAACTGTGGTACCCCCATGTTCCCTTCTGTGAGAGGAAGTTGTGGTCCTCTCCTGTGGGCTGAAGCTGTGATCTTCCCCTGTGAACTGGAGCTGTGGTTCCACTCCTGTAAGCTGGACCTATAGTTCCCCAACAGTGATCAGGAGGAATGGACCCCTTCGGTGAAATGTAACTGTGGTACCCCCATGATAATATGGACTCCCAGTCCCAGGAGGGATGATCAGAATGAGCTGTGCTTTGTCAGTCCTCATCCACCATTGAAGATTAATCCATCTTCCAACTCTCACCAGAGAAGTTTCCTTAAGAAGCAGCTGGTAGTTGACCTGGAAACTTACACCTTTCTAATGTGTGGGGAGGAGTGGCCTTCAGACCACTTATCACTGCGTTCGGTGCCTCTGCAAGGATTCTGGAGTGCAGGACTTGGGAATGATTGCAGAGAGGAGTTGGAAAGATTGTAAGAGCCAAAGGTGGTAGATGACTATGAAGGCGGCAGAGTTCTCCAGACAGCTGACCAGTAACTCTTAATGAACTCACAACAATGTTGAAAGCTCGAGTGGATGAGCCCATGCTGGAGAACATTTGGGGATTCAAGTTAGACTCTATAAGCTTTACTACCCAGTGAGAATACACTGTAAAATTATGTGTATTGGCGGGGGTGTATGGAGGGGGGAATGGAAGAGAGGATATAAATGTCATCAAATTATATTGTCTGGAAATCTCAAAAATTTGATAAAACGCTAAAAAGAAGGATGACCTTCTATTCCTAGTTCATATGTAGTTTTT